GAGGGTGTCTGGGGTTCAACACAGGTTTGTACTTAAAGTATGTAGCTCGTGGTGTGCAGATATGCGTAGCTTTAAGCTGCATCTTTACATATTCAATCATTCCCATTAATCTGCATTTGCTTTGAAAACAGATGACTTTGATATTTGTAGATTTTCATGCACTTTTACTGCAGAAAACATCCATGAACACTTACAGAAACCTGGATCAGTGACACAGCTGTAGCTAAGGCATCATCAAACATATCCTTAAACTAGACGGCTCATTGAACTACGCATGTGCTTGGACTATTTGGCACACCAGTCCCTAGAGATGATCTAGAAACCAAACTAGGAATTAGAAAGGCTTCTTTCTTCACAATCAGGCTTAATTCTAGAAATGGACTCGACTTCCAACTCAAATAAAATCTGGTTGTGCTGAAAGCTTCCTGCACCGAGCAGGGGAGCAGCCTTGCATTTTGCTCTTCCCGCACAAGGGATGCTTTAACAGCAACCACCCCCTTACGATAAAACTAGAAAGCACTTTTTAACTGTTGATTCCCTATGTGCACAAACATTTCCCAGAATTTCTCTGCAACCAGCTCTTAGCTCTCCACAGAATGTGCTCTAACTGCCCGGGAGATGTGCGTGGTCCCGGGGGGCTGCTGGAAGGAGCTGACCTTTGGTACCGGTGAGTGCAGCGGGCGGGCTGCCTTTCCTGGCAGCTGGGGTGCTAATCCGCCTTGTCTCTGCTAAGCGATAGCTGATAAGTCTGGGTAGAAGGAGCTTGCCATGTTTATTTATCATCTGGATCTCTTTGCACCGCTGCTAAGTTGCTCAGAGTCAACTTTTTGGGATGGGGAAGCTTGGTTTGGGTTGCTTCTGTGTACCACTATTAATTTTGTGCCCTCAGCAGGCACAGGGGTATTGCTCAAAAAAGTTACTCTAGATTTTTTTGAGAAAGAAAAAGCAAAAAATACCCAAAGTTAGACATTCCTGGAATACCTTTGTAAATGTGAAACTGTAGCCGATGTTTTACTTTGGCCTGAAGAGGCTGTACCTGGCTTTCTCACGGGTGCTGAGCTGTGCTTCCGCTCACTGGGGCACACTCCCCCAGCTTTTGCTCTCCTTTTCCATGTCCTGAGCATCCCAGCTTTGTGAGTTAAATTGTCCCAAGCTCACTGAGAGGAACCTCAAGATGGGGCTGAGATATCAGAGCCCTGTGCCATGCTGAGCATTGCAAGGCCAGAAAGCAACCTGCTTTCCAAGGGCTGCTCCGAGCTCCTGCACCAACCTGCACCCTTCTGCTCAGGGTGAGGCTCTTATGGGTCTTCTGGAGCCAGCACACTTTGTGCAGAGAACTCAGCAGGCAGCCCAGCCAGGGGAGCATTTAGTTTTTAAGCCTTGTAGTTTGCTAGTTCATGGTCCTGTCCCCAAAAGACTTTGTGCCACTGTGCTGGGGTGGCTTCACAGAGGTGCAAAGAAGGTGGTGTCTCTGGCTTGGGGACATCCCCAAGGACACACCCAGCGAGGTTAATGCCATGTGTGGGACAGGGGAGGACACAGTATGTGGGACATGAAGGGGAATTATTTGGGAAGCATGTGGGAAGTGGCCTTGTGCTGGGCTCAGCTGGATGTAAGGGGCTTCAGACACGTGTGGAAGCGGTGAAGGAGCAGAGGCAGAAAATCCAGCTGCTAAGGAGAAACAGAGAGCTGTCACAGCTCCAGCTGTGGCAGTGTCTGTGCTACTCATTTGTCATGATAGAGGTTGTTTAAAGAGAAAATTAAACCGCTTTAGCTGCTTCTCCAAGCAATGAAAAGAAGTATGCAGGAATCACCATTTATGTGCACATCTGCTTCTCCAACCTGCTGTATTTTTGGAGGCAGGAGCTAAGCAGTGTGTAGTGCTCTCACCATAAATGTGGCAAGGGTGGTGGCTTCAGCTGGAACAGGCTGGGATGGGACATGTTGATCTCCATCCCTCCTTGTGCTGTGGGACATATCCCCAGCTTACAGCCTGTCCCAGCCTCAGCACTGCTGTTAGAGCATGGAGAGAAAAAAAAAAAAAAAAGAAAAAAAAAAGGAGGGGGGTGGATTTCAGCTAAAACTTAGCCAAGAGCCTAGGTTAACTGCAACACAAAGTCGTGGCCAGATGGTTACCATCCAGCGGAGGTATAATGGTGGTATTAACGTTAATTTAACAGGCTTAAGTCTATAGGTGGTCTCAGAAGGCTGCAGTCAAGTAGCTGAAATCTCCACCCTTGATTTGCCCTGGGAGCGTGCGAGCTGCAGCCGTGGTTTGAAGTTTTTAGCCAGCTCAGGGGCACTCGGTAGCAAGACATGGAGTGATGTGCTGCATGGCCTGGCTTCACCAGGAGCCGAGGTAGTGTCTTAGCAGGATCAGATGCTGTTTTTTTCTTTTTAATTTGTTTGGTAGGTTGTTTTTTTTGTGTGTGTATGATTTTTTGTTGTTGTTGTTGTTGTTTAGTTGTTTGTTTTGTGTGTGTGTTTTTGTTTCTTTTCACATGCCCACAACTGTCCAGCATCCCAGGGCAATGGGATGCGTGCTGCTTTTCCAGACTGGAGGAGCCAAAGTTGGGACGCAGTGGCCCTGGACACCGGTGCTGTCCCCTAGAGGTGTGGGGGACCCCTGGGATCAGAGGTGTCCTCTGCTCCCAGCCCCAAAGGCACAGAGCTCAGCTTCAGAGCCCTCTGGTAGCTAAAAAACACAAACCTAAAACTAAACCTGAGCAAGTCTTGGCTTTGACAGAGCTGCTCTGGATCTGCCTAGGGACGTGTGAAGGAGGCTGCAGGCCTCTGCTTCTGAGGGAAGGCTGCTGGGGGAGGACTTTGAGAAATTCTGCACTTTTAGGAAGGAAACCTTCGAAGCACAGACATTTCAATGGATTAGAAAACTTTATTTACTGCCATGTAGAAGAGTAGTTAAAATTTTCCTTTCACCAGTGTTATTTCCTGGGCTGTAGTCCCTGCCAGTCCCCTGACAGACATGTTGCTGCTTTAAAATTATGACTTTCCTAGAGAAATGAGGAGAACTTGTTGTTTCATTCTGAACACAGGGAAATAACAAGCCTTTCTACTCACCTGCTCCTGAGGACGGGATGGAGGTCCAGGAGGGCTGTCACAGAGGCACAGTGAGGTGGTAGCAGGGCTGGTGATGCCTCCTTGCTTGGTGAGATTCACCTCCAGCCCTTGGATGCACCAAATTCAACCCAAATCTGGGTCCTTTGGGAACACAGACTGCCACGGCCCATGGCTCTTGTCTTAGCTCACTTCCTCTCCCACAGAGCCAGTAAATGAAATGCCCTGCACCTCCCTCCAGCACTGAGACCTCCAGGTGGATGGAACAGCATCCATCCACCACCCCAAAATGGGGTGTTTGCTCACCCCCCGCCTGACCTCTCAGCCCTTCACCCCACAGATCTTCCCAGCTGTCTCCCCAACAAATAGTTGGCCTGAGCCCAGGCCATGCCAAAAAATTAACTGAGTGGACAGCCGGTTCAATCTGCTAGTCCAGATGTAGCCATCAGGACCCATGGTTAAGCTTTCTCCAGCATAGCAGACAAAGTGTGTTTTTGTTTTTTTGTTTGTTTGTTTGTTTGTTTGTTTTTCTTACTTTCTCATTTTCTTGAGACCTAGTGATGTAAATGAGCTGTTCCCAATTTCTCTGTCTTGTCAGCTTCTCCTAGCACCGTCGACCTCCTTCATTAGGAGGGCTCATTTGGCCTCAGGAAGAGGTGAGAAAGGAAGGTCAAGGCACTGTGGGTTACTCCTCAGCCTCTTTTGCATCCGGAGTTTGTCTGGTCAGAGTTTGAGCCAGGGGCTGATTATGGCCCTTTGTTTGCTTGTTGCTAAAGCACCTTAATTCTAATTAACAGAGTGAATTAATTAACAATAAACAGAATTCATGCAGTTTTGTTTCCTTCAGGGATAAGTGGAGAGAAACAGGAAAGGCAGGCAGGTAACATCCTCTTCTGACATGAATTCTCTAGAGCATGGTCCCAGTTTCCAAAGGCTGCTCCGAGCTATCTTCTCGAGACACTCTGAACCTAAGGAAGAAATAAAAACTGGGGTGTGAAGGAAGTTCACATTTTGGAAGGATGGCTATCTTTGACTGCCTTGTTGTTTCCCCATGTTGGGGGATAGTTTTTGAGAGGTCACAAACAACTTCTGTTTCTGAGAGAAGAATTGGGGAAATCAAGCCAAGAGATTTTTCAGCTGAAGACTGACGTGTACTATATCATCCTTTTCTATGGTGGTGAGACTCATATTATTCAGAGGAACAAGCACTTGTGGCTGCAGACATTAAGCGAATGGATCAGAGAAGTGTTAATGAACTGTAGACTTGCACTTTATCATTGAGGTCTCTGCTGAGACTTTGGCATGGTAGTTGTATACTGAACCACATTGTGCTCAATATATTTGCCTTACATTTGCATTGTTGCCGATTTTACTTTTGGGTTTGCCGAGACAGGATTTTCAGTTCTGTGAGCATCTTTCCTGCAGGCACAAAACAAAAGAGGTTGGGGTGGCTGCAGCCCGGGTGGTGGACGGGTCTTCTCCTGCCTCTACTCTGGTCGGGCAGGTGGGGCCCTGCTGTCGTGATGGTGCTTATTGACAGATTAAATTCACTGCTTCCCTCTTCTCATGTTCATTATTTATTTATTTATTTATTTATTAATATGTTGCTAAAGATTATTGCTGATGGAGGTAAAAGCATGCACTGCTTTGCCACACTAGTGCAAAGTACACCGCCCTTACTATTTTCAATTAGTTGTAAGAGTTGCCTACTAGAGTTTTGGCACAGCCTAAAGTGCGAACAAGCCGAATTAGGCAAGAGATTACACATTTTTGGCATTCTGGCATTAGCTGAAATAGTTTCAGCTTTGTCTTTGGTGGTGGTCTTAAAGCAAGAGGAATGTGAGTGTGGAATTTGGGACCGGCTCTGGAATACCCTGGTGTGAATTTCTTCCTTTATAAGAGAGTGCTTAATTCCACATATTAACATGTTGGTCTATCTTGCTAAAAGTGAAGTTACGCTGATTAGTTACACTGCAGAAGCTAAAGTATGTACATCTGCTTGAATCGGGCATTTAATAGCAGGAATAATGGCTAACGTTGCTCGTGTAACATTTCACTTCAAGTGTCTCTACACGCACATAACTGACACTACAGCTGGGAGGGTATTTTATTTATTTCTGTTTTGTTTTAAATAAACAGAATTCAAATGGTTTATTTTTGAAGTTACTTCCTCCCCTCAGATTACAAGAATTTCACCTCCTTCCTCACTAAAATGAACTCTCGTTCCCCCAAAATAAAAATATTTATGAATGGAGCCAGAAAGGTAAATTCTCAAACTTTCTTTAAAACATGCTGTAACACAATAAAGTTTCCGTTATTGATTAAGCCCAGGTGGTCTGCTCACACAGCAAACAGATATTTTACAAAGCTTTATTATGCCTCATTAGAATTCACTCCTTTAGAAGATTTCTAATTATATTGTCTAATAAAACTAAACCTTCGAAGCTATTTGCATATTATATGAAGAAATCTCATACAACAAACTCACAGTGGATTCAATTAACATAATAGCTAATTATATATCCCATCAGCCTTTAGAGTAGCTCAGCATTCATGTTGCTCCTGTTTTAGCCTAGAGCAAAGGAGGTTTGAATTTTCACTTCTAAATATTGACTTTTAACTAATATCAAAAATGATTTGAACACTTTTGTGGATGAAAAGATAATGATTAAACTACATGAAACATTTTAAAAGATTTATTTAAAAGTCTTTGAAACAATTTCTATTTAAACATAAAGCTTCACATATTATACACATGAGTCTGCCTATATTCTTTTTTTAAAGGACCAGATATGTCTAATTATTTTGACAAATGGTTGATTGACAGCTTGGTTATTTTGAAACTGCCTACTTCCTGCAGTTACATTTTGTATATTTTTCATTGCACTTTGTAATGCAATTGTATTCTTGGCTGGTTGTGGTATCTATCAAGCAAGAAATTTAGGACTAGATTAACAGAGACATAGTAATGAGCAGGCATTTGAGCACCCTATAATTGACTCTTATTAAGGTGTCGTCACAGTAGTCTGTAATGAATTCTCTTGTTTTGTTTTGAAATTGGATGAGATGTTCTAGGGAAACAAAAATAGATGCTAAAGTTTCCTTGAACCTTAAAAATTTCCCAAAGAAACAAAGCCTTTTTTTTTTTTTTCCTCTTTAAAGATTTCAAATACTCTGAAGGTTCTTCCAATTTTGAAATGCCCAGTTGAAAAAGCAGCATCAGGTTTTGTAACTTAGTGGAAAATGTTAAAAAAAATCACACATCCATCAACCTCCTCATCAAAACTAATGAAAATTCTGCTGGATATCATATTTATATTTTTACAAAAGATAGCAGATAAAGTTTGTTGCAGAGTAAATGGTTTTCTCCCATTACAATGATGGCTGCCTTTTCATTCATATTTTAATGAGGTTAGTATCTCTGAGACAGCTTTTTCGGGGTGGAGGCCCATGTCTCCGGTACAATTACAATAGGAGTTGCTTTATTGACAAGTACTATTCAAAATCTTCACAGTATAGAAAGAAAGGCTTTAGTTTTCCACCACTTGTCCAAATACTTATTCCTCTCTTACTATTAAAACACTTTCAGAAAGAGCACTCTCAACTGTGTAGAGCCCTGTATGACCAGGCAAAGCACAGCTCAGCCGAAATGTTTCCTTTAAATTCAAGTTGCATTTATTTCTGCAGAAAACTCACTAGGCAAAGCCCAACAAATAGATGGCAGAAATTAATAGATTGCATTGGCAGCTTCTGTGTGAGCAGGTTTACAAGAAGCATGTTAATATAATAATAGCTGCTACCAAAAGTGTGAGTCTGACTCCAAACAAATAAGGGAAAACAAAGTTATTCAGAGATCACACAGCCAACATATACTTCATCAAACAGACATGAAAAATGCAACTGCTGGCAAGCTATGCTCTTCAGTTTTTATTAATCTTCATGCATATGACATCTCTAGAATACTTTCCATTACTACGGCAAGGGAAAACATCCCAACACTATATCTGATGGTAAATGCAAGACAAGCTCTCCCTGAGCCATATCACATAGAAATAGGTGCCACTGTGTGCACAAACACTTTCTCGTGTATCTATCTGAAAGAAAACATATGCAGGAGCATCATTTCTGTAAAATTACAGATTTTGCATTGTGAAGGTCCATTGATTTTTGGTTTTGTGTTGTTTTTCTTGGATATGTGAATCATTTTTTCAGGGCTTGGCACTTGGCTTGGCTGCACATGGCAAGGGTTTGTGAGTGCCCTGTGCTTAGGCATGTGTGTGTCTTGGCTAAGCCATGCTCAAAGCAGAAGGGAAGGGCTAGGGAGGTAATGCACACCTGAATACCACTTGGAATATCAACATGATTTTTTTTCTTCCAGGAGTTAAAGGGTAAAACCCTTCTTCATCTGATACAGGGTATCTCTATGTGTAAAGAAATACAGGCTCTAAAAGTGGCTTTCCCCCTCAGCTGACTTAAGTTACTGTCATAGAAGTAGCTTAGAGGAGGGATGAAATTTAGTGTAATTTATTGCTATAGCAATCATTGAAAAAAAAAAAAAAATCCCTCCCGGAGCAACACTGACCTCAATAGAAGTGATGCCAGGGCTGAAATTAGATTGTGAGGTTGTCTCACCTTCTGTCGTAAGGGCTGCAAAACCTTCCTTCCATGTTTGCTGGGTGTCTGATTTTGAAAGTTGAGAAACCTATTTCTTTGGGGTGGAAAGTGCTTGCCCCGAGCGCTGCCTTCTCCTTCTACTCTCCACCCCAGGGGGAGGAAGGCACAGCGCAGTTTGCAGCACAAGTTGCCAACGCAACTTCTGCCGCTGCCTTCCGCTGCGCGGAGCTGTCTTTGGCTTGGGGGAAGTTGTGTTTTCCTGCAAAAAATATTTGCATCCCAGTGGATGAAACAGACTTTTAATAGCAAAACGTGGTTTGTGTGAGACTATCTTTACTGTAAAATAGGTTATGCTGCCCTACAAATGGGTTTGGGAATGAAAGACTGAACTATTATTTTTTTTTCATTTTTTTTTCTCTTTCTTTCTTTTTCTTTCTTTCTTTCTTTCTTTCTTTCTTTCTTTCTTTCTTTCTTTCTTTCTTTCTTTCTTTCTTTCTTTCTTTCTTTTTCTTTCTTTCTTTCTTTTTCTTTCTTTCTTTCTTTCTTTCTTTCTTTCTTTCTTTCTTTCTTTCTCTCTCTCTCTCTCTTTCTCTCTTTCTCTCTCTCTCTTCTTTCTCTCCCTTCTTTCTCTCTCTCTCTCTTTCTTTCTTCTTCTTTCTTTAATTCTTTCTTTATTTCTCTTCATTCTCTTGTTCTTTCTCTCTTTCCTTCTTCGTTTTTCTTCCTATTTCATCTTTATTTATTTTTCTTTCTTATTTTTTTTCTTTCTTATTTATCTTTTTCTTTTTTTCTTTTTTTTTCTTACCTTTTTTTTTTCTTTAAATATATATATTCTTTTTCTTTATTTACTTATTTCTTTTCTTTCTTTCCTTTTCCTTAGGCACTTTTCTTCACAGCCTTTTGGAGGGGGTGGGGGGGCTTTTCCCAGGTTTCGTAAAAAAGTAGCTTCCACATCCAGAATGGGACGGGGGGGAGGGAGGGGTTTCATAATGGTTGAAGAAGACGACAGAGGGGAAAAAAAAACCCTAAGCTTTAATTTTAATTCTCCTGCCTTTATTTATCTGATTTGTGGCCAGATGGTGGTGGAGCAAGGAAACCCTTTGTGCAAACGAAGCACACATGTGAAAGTGCTTCTGTAATGTAATCATTGAGACCGGAAGGGTTCATACTGTGTCTGAAAAGAGACAATAGAGCCGGGATATATCAACATCGCAGAAATCGAGTTCATTTGCGATGCAGGCCCTTTGACTCCGGTTGTCATGAAAACTTCCTACTTTGATCAGCAGAGGGTGGCGGGGCCGGGCGCGGCGCGGCGGGGCCATGCACTTGGCTGCCGCTGCCGCCCCCCCGGTGGGCGCCTTGACCCGGCGGGACGGGGTCCGGCCCCGGTACCGAGGGCGGGGGCTGCTCCTTGACCCCCACCATCACCACCACCACCACCACCACCACCACCTCCTTGGGTCCATAGGTAGAAGTCGGACCCCCTCGCCGCCGTCGCGCTGCGGACAAAGACGCGGAGCAGCTGTCGGGGGCGTAAAGCTGAAATAGTAGAACCTGGGAGAAGCGAGGTTGTGGGAGCTATTATTTTCGGCGCAAAACCCTTGGGAGGTATTAAAACAGCTGCATCGGAGCTGGGCGGGACGGCAGGCGGCCAACGGGCCGAGCGAGCGAAGGCACGGGACGTCGCCGCATCGCCGTCGACCCGGCGAGCGAGAGGCTGGGGCGCGTGGCGAGGCGGGAGGCCGCAGGTGGAGGAGGCTTCGCGCAGGCCACAGGGCCCCGGCCGCCCCCGCGGCTCCGGCTGACATTTTTAATTACGTGTGTCATGTAACGTGTCGACAGCCGTACATGCCGGGAGAGGTGCGGTCGCTCCTTCTCCCCTTCCGTGACGTCTGTCTAACTAGATATTATCTGTAGGAAGCGGTTTTGGCAGTATAATGAGGGGAGGTGGGGTGGGGTGTGTTGCGGGGGGGAAATCAATTTTTGCCTCCGATAGGTTCCTCTTGCAAAGTCAGAGGGCGACTTAGCGGAATTGTTGGAAAATCCCTGTGCTGGACCGGAGGATGGCCAGCTGCGAGCGGAGCCTCCCACCCAGACAAGGAGAGTGGAGAGATTTGCTGCTAGGCAAGAAGAGAAAATCTGGGCAGACTTTAAAAAATTCTGGGTTTAAGCTGGTGCTTACAAACCTTTGAAATCTGCGGTAAGCCAACGTAACAAATTAGTAACCTTTTCTTTTAAAGTGAAAACTGTGTTAGCGGACCCAGGCTTTATCGTATAAGTACCATCCTTACGAAGCCCATGCAGCTCGTGCATTGTTTGAAATTCTTGCCATATTTTAACATGCTCCGTGCTGGCTCCTCGCAGGAACAAGCTGAGTATTTCGAGATAACACTGCGTTTTGTCAGATGCTTTATAATGTTATTTAGAAACGTATTCGGATCTATTTAGTGCTTCATAAATATGAATAAACCGTTTACAAAAGGCACGTCACTTGCAGAAGTAACCCACGGATTATACCAGCTGCTCTCAGTTTACATGTTACAAATTTCCTAAACTGTTCAAAACTACATTTTACTCGGGGCATTTTTATCAGTGATTAAATATAAATCACTGTTGCCCAGCAAATATCTCTGTTGATTTATGTGTAGGAAATAAGGGAATTGGAGCATTGGCCGAAACCCCAAATTACTGCTGAAGGAGTTTCAAATATTTATGGATGAGTTAGGGGAGGAGGGAGGAATGTCATCCTTTTCTCCCTAGGCCTCGCTGCGTGCAGACAAATTTCTCTCAGCCACTTCTGCGATGCTGCCGGAGGTGTCGGAGCCGGGGCACTCTGCCTGGTGGAGGGCCAGCCCCTCCGAACACAGGCGGATTTTTTAAGGCTTTTGGCGTCTTTTTAGCTTCAGGGTGGGGAGAGCAGCACAGCGAGGGAGGCTGCGCTGGATGCGGCCCCTCGGTCAGCTCAGGGCTTGCTCGGCCACAGAAGCACGGCCAGTGCGGGGCTGCAGCCGGAGTGCTGGGGGGCTGCGAGCCCCCCGGCTCCCTTCGGCCCCGAGCACTGTGGCAGCTCGCTTTTATGGTTTGTCCTGGCAAATACAAGTTGGTTTTTCAGAGAGGCTCGGCACAGGGCCTTGCGTCTGTGCTGGGCATGACTTCTGTAAGGCACATCTTATTTTAGCCTGTTGGTTTTTGCTTTTTTTGTCTTTTTTTTTTTTTTTTTTCCCATGGACTTCCTCTTCCCATGGCTTGCGGGGTGGGCTGGATTTGGGGGGCAGTAATTCCCTCTTAATGCACACCCAGGCTTCCTCAGATGTGCCCCAAAATGAGCTCAAATCCCCTCGGCAGCACTGCGCTGAGCCCTTTGCCGAGCTCCCCGTAGCCCCGGCACGGCATCCCGTTGGATGCAGGCACCAGTAAACACAGCCTGCAGAACGGGCTGATTTCGTTTAAATTTCATCTGCCTGCTCCCTAGTTGATGTGGAACGGGGGGGTGCCCATCCAGGTGGAAGGATTCCCCCCCCCCATGTTTGTGAGGCACTGACGAGGCTGGCCATAAAGTTCGATATAAGTCATGCTGGGCAGCGCTCGCTGCCGGCAGCCCCCAGCCCCGCGCTGTGCAGGGTGAGCAGGGCTCCGAGCTGCCGGCAGGCTTTTTTCTCCCAAGAAAAAAAAAAAAAAAAAAAAGAGAAAAAAAGAAAAAAGCCCAGTGTGAGCATCCTCCTTTTCTCCTTCTTGCAGGGCGAAAGTCTCGTAGAGGAGCCTGAAGATGAAATATTCTCACTTATCGCCCAAGAGGCAGACTATCTAGCTGACAAGCTGTGCAGTGAAAAATCAGGTACTGTGTCTGATGTAACATGTGCTCTCTCTACAGCGTGGTGTTTTTTTTTTTTCAAACCCAGTGTACTGCTTTGGTGCAGCAAACCACTCTGGAGGAGACGGGTTCTGTTGTTGAATAAGCAATGACACTACATGACTTTTAAGAAATGGCCCTTTTTAAAGGTTTTAGTTGCTGTTTTTAATTCTTTCGTGCATATTAATGCAGCATAATTTTAACATTCCACCTAACGCGGCGTCTTTTCCTCCTGGTGCTACGTGATTTTTGCTCCTTGTGTATCTGTGCTGTCATTTCAAAGCCAGGAATGAAAATAACCCCCTTGCAGCAAAACGCTGGGGATTTGCTTCTCCTGTTTAATTGCTGAGCTACGAGCAGGGAGAGCGTGGGCTTACAAGCGTGTGGTTCATTTTTAGGAGAACTCTTCCTTGGCATGAGAGCAGAGCTGTCCTCGGAGGGGCTGGCTGCCCACCGCCATCAGCTGCTAGGAAGAACAGATTTTAAAATGTCTGTAAAATACACCCTTCCAAATAAGCAAGGCCTCTTTTAAATCCCAGCAAACTGGGAAAATGCTGTCACAAATTCATTTCAGCTTCTTAAAAATCTTCCCCCACTCCACTGTTTGTTGCCCTTGTTTTTAATGTTTTTGGTTTTGTTTTTTAACTTTTATATTCAGTTCTAAATCTGAAAGCACATCACTTAAGATACTAAGTGCTACAAGATTATAAATGAAGTTGCATTACCCTTTCTCAACGTGCTGCCTTTAGTGATAGAATATGCATGGAAATATCGATCCCAGAATCAATGCTTGTAAATATTAGTGTGTGTTTTCTGAGATTTAAAGTCTGAAATAATTGTTTGTGGTATGATAAACATAGCCCACAAAAGTGCTCAAAGTCGGTGAAAGCTGACTCACCAAAAGTTCACAGAAATAAGTTTGAGTACTTTTAAGCATCAGGGCATTTTTAATATTTATTGAAAAAGCAGCCTTGAGCACTGGGGAACTCTGTAATGACACCGTTATTTTTAGAATCTATGCAGACAAATGATTTGTAGAAAATAAACTTTGCAGAACAGTTGTTGATTTTTTAAGAAATATTTTTTATTTGTCGTATGTGTCATTACGGAGCAACTTCCTGACTTGCCAAAACAGCACCGACAGAGAGTTAACATGGTATATCTAAAACTGCACACTTAGTCCAAAATGGATGGTACAATTTCTGGTAGTCAGACTCAAACAGAAAAACTTTGTAGGCAATTCAGATACAACGTGCAGATATGTCTGTGGGATCATGCAGGAAAATTATCACCATCCACGTGTATTTTCTGAGAGCACTGAAGAGTGAGGTAAACTCCCTTTCCTCTCTGGCCGCACCATTACCGTTTTGGAGACGAATTTACAGTTTTGTGTGTCTTTGGTAAAACTACAAAAATGTTTGCCAAAGATGAGCACAAAATATTGATATCAAAGCCCACACTGTTAAAATCTCTCCTTTTTATTTTTTTTTTCTTTTAATGTACCTGCTTCTAAACAAAAGCTTTTTTCCCCCCTTTGAGGTCACATTTTGGGTTTAAAACCTGCACTGTGCACCCCTTCAGCCCTGTCCCATCAGCAGAACGATTTCGCCCTTCCAGCAGAGGAGCTGACTGTGCCTGCACGTTGGTCCCATTCCCACAAATGCCCCCACTGCCGATACGTGGGGCTGCCCTTCCTTGCACAAAAAATACAAATAGTGCTCTAAAGAGGGCAAAAAAGTGCAGTTTCCTTCCTTCTCCCTGGCAATTAGCACAAATAAACAAGCTGCCATTTAATAAGCAGAAGTGCAAGCCTTCACCGGCACAAGATGCTTGCAGAAGAGGCAGAGGAACGCTGTGCTGCCTGGGCACACAAACAAGGGCGAGAAATTAATTTGCCCGTCCCCACATCGTCCCACTGCCCATTTAAAAAATGTCACTGTATTAAAGGATAAACAGAAGACTAAAAAAAGTCTCAGAGGCATTTGGTTTTAAAGCTAAATGCTATCAGCGGATGAAAATAAGAGTATTAAATTGCATTAAAAACGCTGAAAGCCTGCTCACACGCGTGCTGTGGTGCTCGGGAGCTGGCAGGGCAGTGCAGGGATACCTGGCGGAGCAGCAAAGCCTGCCTGGGGTTTTCCAGGAGAGCAGATTCAGGCTCCTGTGGCATTGGAAAGCGCGGGTCTTCAAAATCGTGTCAGGCTGCGCGCCAGCCGCGGAGCGCTCCGGCTAACTTACAAAAGCACCCAGCTCACAGAGCACAATGAGAGTTGTGTTATTAAGTCTTATCTGCCTTACAACGGCAATTTTCATTAATACCTTATATTAAAGCAATATTGCGCTCTTATCGCCTTACTGTAAATTATTGGCTCTTTTTATTCGGAGCTCCGCGTGCTCAGCCAGAATGCGATTTTAAACTTTTTTTTGGCAAATTATCATACTGAGCGATAGAAATAGTGTATAAAACCTCTCCACGGGCCAGTTGCAGATTTTGATGCTGTGGATTTCGCCATAAAGCAAGAGAGAAAAAAAAAAAATCAATGATGTATTCATTTCATTATTATGCTTTTAATTTGTTTTAAAAGGCTGTATAGGTGAGCACGGCATATTTCTTGTGGCCCACTGCAGACTTATTAATATTGTTGTAATCAAATCCTTTTTATGCCGTGCGATAGCAAAATAATGAGGAATGCAGTTTCCTCTCAGTCTTGACATTAATGGAAGTCGTATGCATATATGAAGAAAAAGCCTTATCCGTGAGTCATGTTTAGCACTTGTTTTATTCTAATATCATCCTCCACCTTTTCCTATGGCAACCGTAGGTGGGTGATTCTTGTTTGATTAAAAAGCAGCAAACTTCAATAAAGTCTTTTAGAACGATCAAAACGTTTGATATTTACAAGCAGGGATCCGTTTTCTGTCATGTATTCTTTGATCATGCCAAAAGTCCCTGTGCCAGTCAGGCAGGCACTACCTGCTGAGACACACCTTCAGATCCTCAGATTCCTGTTTTTTCACAAGCTTAAAAATCTCAGAGTTCGTTTTCGAGACCATTGCCTTTATTTTTCCCCTGGACAGGAAGCGTGGATGCCGGCTGGACCGATGAAATTATTGAGCTTTGTTTTAATCCTGGACCCCTTGAATTTCCATTGCTGGTTAAAATAGTCTTCCTGGTGCTCTTCTTGGGCCTGGGGATGTTTCTGGCTTCGGTGGCCATGGTTTGTGCCCTGCCATGGGGCTTTCTGAAGTGCCAGAAGGAGCTGGGAGAGGGAACGCTCCGGCCCATACGAAACCAGGCACCAGCTAAGGCTTGTGCTGATGTACGGACCAGGGCCAGCTGATTTATAAGTGGGAAATAATTTAATACCATGTCTTTCAGGAGTGATGAAAGCTACAATTTAAGTAATACCAGGACTTCTGCTACTACTTTCTTTTTCTTTTCCCCCCTCCACTTTTTTTTTCTGTCTCTCTCTCTCTCTTTTTTTTTTTTTTTTTACATACATTCACATCTATAAAAATCTGTTGTTTGGCTAAAATCTTCTAGTCTTGGCCCAAGTATTTCTTTATTTAGCTGTTTTGAAAGTTTGAATATAATTTGGGCACCCAATGCTGGGTTACACAAAAGTGAAACAAAACACTCTCATTCAGCTGCGAAGAAATATAGAAGTCTCTTTCTGCACAATTATCGCTCAAACTATTGTGTTTTTGCAAACTGATACTTTCTAGGAGGCTCGTTCCCAGCGAGAACTACTCTCCTGGAGAGCCTAACAAAGCTAGCAGCTACATCAATTAAAAGCAGCTAAAATGTCTGTTATGTGTATGTGCAGAATATTAAACTTCCATTAAACCATTCACCATTTACCTTAATACCATCTGCAACGATTATGGAAAAGAAAGGCAATATTTGGGGGGGGGGACAAAGCTGTGGTTTAATGCTGCCACAGGACTCTGGAATTACATATTTTTGCACATTTTTCTCACCATGCCGCTCAGAAAGAGAACAGTATATAGGGAGATTAGCCTCGAGTCCCCTGCCCTGCAACAGGATCTGCTGGTGCAGATTTCGAGAAGCGCTACCAGGGAGTGAAGGCTCTCCAAGTTGGCAGCTTCTTGTTTGAAAATACCAAGTCTGATTTAAAAAAAAAAAAAAAAAAAAAAAAAAAGAATTTTAACTCTACTCTAGCAGTAAGGCAATACAGAAAGGACTGGGAAATGTGCATATAAGCACTACCATGAGCCCCTTGGAGAGATGTGGGATGTTTTGTCTGTTTAGGAGTGCAATTGCATTTTTCTGTGGGTGCAAAGTGCTTGGATCTGCTCCCCAAGGCTGACTCATGGCCAAGGAGCCAGAGCAGGTGCCCGAGCGAGAAGTGGCACCCCCTGTATGGGGTACACGAGGCTTGGGTTCCTCAGTGAGCCCTCCGGCTGTGTACTGGTGATAGGACAACTGTCAGGGACCCTGGAACTGTGCATGGGATTGTTTTTTGGTTGTTGCAAGCACTTGTTTTACTTTGTAGGGTTTTAAACATTTTGCAAAAAAATGCCGCCTCACATGGGCTTGTACAGGTCGTGGTCATTGCCTCTGAGGGAAGAATCAGACCCTGAATTATTTCTCACATTTGAGGATGGGGATTTAAAATATAATGTTTCACTCTATTTTTTTTTTTTCTAAATCTTCTTGCTGTACTGCAAAAGTTATGTCTAGAAAATCCTGACTGTGTCAGTGTGCTGTGGTTATGCCTCACTCTCATTTCTGATTTACTGGGCAAAAGTATTTTAAAGTACTTCAGTTTTCATCTAAACACTTTCAGTGATGGAATTACTTACAGAAGAGAAAGGGTATTTTTCTAGCTAGAGAACAGATATATTTTTAGTAAAGAAACTGTTGCTCCTAGCAGGATGTTGCTGCTCGGGACACCAGTAAGTGACATGCAACTTTTCCTTCTTTAGGTGCCTGTGCAGCCTGCTGCTCACCCAGGGCACGGAGGAGATCAGCTGCTCACTTTGCAGAGCGAAGTAAGATGACAGCACCATTTTTTTCTTGTGTAATCAAGAATCGGCTGTTTTTCCTTCTTTCCACTGTAACACCCTCCGTATTTTCTACTTTCATCTTTAAATGTGCACACACTCCCTAGTCTTATTTTTGTCTTTTTAAGCTGCTTTCTATTAAAGTATTTTGAATGAAATCTGCAGAGCTTTGGTGAGAATGTGAAGTTTAACAGGGAATTGTCTATTGACCTTATTTCTGTGGGTTTTTTACCCTAAGGTATTCGCCTCGGTTGTGCCGATTTTCACAAAATCGACATCTGATTGTGACAGAACTAGAGCACCTAAAAAACGAGGGTCCTGCTCAAGCAGGAAAAGAGAACAAATGCAATCACAATAAACCTCTTTTTTTCGTCATGTTCATTCATTTGTTTTAGCAGGTGATCAATGCGTGTGTATTTCTGTGCTAGAAAAGAGTTTAGAGTTTTTAGCTAAGAGCTGCTGCTAAATTTATATTGTTGCACTGAAGACAGTGATGGGAAGCTTTCCAAATATTTATCCTTTTAAAGGTGAGGTAACTTAAAGGCATGTGTGTAGTTTCATTTAAACAAGCTATCCCTTTACAATTTCCATATCAATGTACTACTGAACACGATATAAATGTTCACTGAACCTTAGCGGGACTGGTGTAATAACTTTTTAAAATTACTGTTTCTTGCTGAAGAAATGTCAAAAAAACAAAAAAATATTTCCGATAGGCTTCTTCCTTTCATCATTGGGGTGTTTGGTTTTTTTGTTTGTTTGTTTGGCTTGGTTTGTTTTTTGGGGGGGTCCAAAATATGTATTAACCAGTATAAAATATAAGTTCATATATCCTCCCCAGAGCTGTGGCTTGTTTCAGGTTGTGGCTGGGTCCCCAGAAGATGAAATGTGAGAATAAGTGCTGCAGCCTCTGCGAAAACACTTTGAAAAGACTTAAAACTACTGAATTGGGGTTTGAAGGTAATGAGGACAGTTCATGTAAAATAGTATAATGGTCTGGTAAAATGTTTAGAGGAAAAGTAATATTTATAACTATTGTGTTTTTGTTGTTGTTGTTTTTTGTTTGTTTTTTACTAAAATTAAGGACATTACCTCTCCTACGGATTTTGTAACCACCAAATAATACAAAGTGATAAATTGTAATGGTTTAAAACATTGGTCTAAAATCTGTTAATATACGTCATATAACTGGAAAGTTTACTTATATAATTTTACAATATTTATACAATTAAAACAAGAATGCCGGCCGACCCTCAGCACAAATTGTTACATCTTCACAGAAGCAATACTGATTTACAACAGTTCAACATCCCTACATTTGTTACACGGGGATTTGTTGTCTAGTGTTTAATGTGTTTAAAAGGACTCTGAAGTTTTTCCTCAGCCTGGATTATTTTCTGCCTTTTCCTACTGACAGACCAATTTTGCAGAATACTTCGTCAAACTTAGATCTGAGCATCGCAAGGCAGCTATACCATGTAAAATGGGAATACCTTCAGGATTTAAGGAAGACTGTCTTCACACTTAATCCAATTCAACACCATCTTTCACGTATATGTAAACACTGATTTTTAAAGTAACTTTGAAATACGTGAACTCATCCTGTAGCATGGCGTTGAAATGTCCAATTTACACCAAAGCGGGGTCTTCAGTGTTGATGTCAAACTCACCCCAAAGGCAAAACCTACAGCCTCAGCTGACTCCGTTTAAAGCCTGAAAGCAAAAAAAAAATGTATCTTATTCATACTGTCATGTAAAATTTAATTGAAAGTTTTTAATTCCCCTCTTATTTCCATTCTGTGGTATCTGTTGATTTTGTGAGTGGACTGAAAAGCACAAAGTGTATTTAAAAAACATATACTGCAAAGTCATGTAAAAGGAACTCAGGTGCTGGGAATCTGTGTAGCTATTTCAAAGTTGAGCTAATTTTCAAAACGTTGCAATCACCTTATTTTTAATTACATTTTTTTTCTCTGCATGTAAAAATATTTTTCCTTTCCCAGCATCCTCTTTTTATTGTTCATCGTGAGAGACTCATAAAAGCAACAAAGAAAATTGATTATCCAGGAGACCAGCAGAGTGAGAGCAACCAAGCATTATTCAAAGATCAAAATAAACAAACCAGGATGTCAATAGAGAGTAATTTGTGGGTGGTTTATTCTTTTTTCCTTCTTTTTCTTTTTTCTTTTTAATTAGAGGGAACTTACGTGTTGTCTGTAATGACTGTTAAATTATTTCAGACAGGTATGTTAGAGATTTCTTCTCTGCCTTTCAAAATTTTAGTGCTGTCTTGCCCTTTATTGGATATTCCCTCAAAATTGATCGTGATCATGATATAAAAGAGATGCTGACCACCTGACCGGGTCGTTTCACTGAGCATCAAGTCCTCTAGTGCCAAGTTCGATGCATGTGTTCAGCCGCTGAAGTTTGTGTGGGTTTTGCTGAGAAAATACAGCTAGATCATAGTATTGACATACAGCCCTCAGAAGGAAAGTCTGTCTCTAAACTCTAATTTGCACATTTACATTCTGTCTTTGGGTTTCACAGTGAGAAACTACGGGAGGATTTTTGTATCTGTTCCTTTACACTCCGATGATGAGATAGGGGCCAGATTCATCCCTGTATCATCTGGTGCTGCAGGCTTCTTCTGGTGTAACGGCTGCAGCTGGAGCAGTGCTGTGCTGTAGGACTTCTGATAGGTGCTGCAAGCAGCCTGGGAAGGGCTCGGGGTAAATGTTCGGATGTTTCAGAATTGCCTTATTGAAGCAGAGACTGAGAAGCAAACTTAAATTTTGCGAGAACCTTTGTGAAGGCAAACTCATGCAGGTTCTGTAAAAAGTGCTGTGTCTGAGAAAAGATTTATACATTTTTTCTTGTGTTAATTAACAGATTGGGTGAATTATATGATATAATATGATTATGATTTAATTGATATGATTATGATGTGAATGATATGATATAATATGATATATGATATGATATGATATATGATATGATATATGATATGATGTGATAAACTGCTTGGGATCCCAATTATACAGATATTTAAATGTCTGTCCACAGTTCATCTCCTCAGTTCTCTTCAAGAGATGAGCATCTGAAAACCTAAATGGAAAGCAGAAGAAACATGTCTTGACTTCAGCCCCTATCTTTGCTCCCGCATTTATCTCACATTGCTCTGATGAGGTCAAAGGATGGCAGAGATGTATCCAAAGGCACGATCGAGCCTTTTATCAATGCAACAGAAATGTAAAGGTGGTTTGTCAGACAGCAGGACCAGATCCTTGCCCAGAGCAAGTAGCTTTAATGTGTCGACTTGGGATTGAGCTGTTACACTTGACTTGGGGTGACTGGGGGTCCCCGTTTCGTGATGGCTGTTAATGCATTTGTTTAAAATGTTTTATTTCACTTTTCATGCCAAATATGCTAGGAAAAGAGTGCTTTCCTTGTGACAGATTTCATTTCAAACGGGGCTTGTGCTGAATGAGTTGAGGCCACTAAATTCATTTCACTGAGGAGCAGAGAGTGGATGAAATGAGATCCTAAACAGGAAAGATCAATACTTTATTTACTACAATAAACCCTAAACCCAAGTTTATCATTAACTAGTCTTATTTTCTGTTCATATTTGTTGTTGTGGTCTGACGCCTGCTCACACTGTGATAGCTTCATCACAATACAGTTTTTAGAAAATGCATATCGCTTGTCACTCTTTCATTGACACAGAGAACAATCATGTTAGAATTTTATGAACAAAATATTAACTTGCATGGTGTTCCTAATGCATATTAAGTTTACCAGAAATGAGGAGAGCCAGATATGCATTTAATGAAATACTATTAACGGGTCTTACAGCAGGAGCGGGGAGGAATACCTCGTAATTACAGCGTACACATCCATGTACGCCGTACTTTGTTATGGAGGCTTAAGTAGGTAATTAGTATTGCGGTTATGGAGTTGTGAGCTATCTCAGATGATGTCAGCCTCTGTGAACTGCCCGCTCGGTGCCAGCAGTGGGGCTGAGCCCTGAGCAGCTCTGGCTCCAGGCAGGCAGGAGAGGCAGGAGCTCTGCCACCGCGCTTGGGGATGGCAGCAGGGGAGCCACCGGGGGTAGGGAAGGAGCAAGGGAATGATGCTTTTGGTAGGGCACTGTGGGCACAACATGCATTAAAACCCAGCACACACACCTTGTGCTGTCTTATCAGGGGATTCCTGAGGCTGCGTGACAAGTACGAAAGAGAGGAGAGCTCTTGGAAGGCAAAGAGCACACAAGGTTAGCAAGCAAGTGCGAGGTGGAGTTGCTACACCCGGTGACTTCCACGCAGACATATGTGTGCTGGAGCAGTGCTGCAGCAGCGTGTATCGCCGTAAGAGCGTTGATTAACAGCACAACTGTGCTTAATGCAGTGCGGGTTAATGCAGAGGCTGTCTTTAGGAGCGCCTCAACCAGGCTGCGCGTGCAAGAGGAAAAGAAAGAGAGCAACCAATGCACAAAGCTCATTTAACCCGACCGAGGAGCTCTGGAAAACACGGGTGCCTCCTTGCCTTTCGACGTATTTACAGACCTGGCTGGTTTAATGGCATTCAGCAATAAATTCCATCGCCTTCGGGAGCAATTGATAAAGGTTCTGGTAACCGCCTGCTCCAATCTACTTTGGGGAATGTTAATAAACGGGTACCCGAGAACTCCTAGGTGTGTGCCGTGGAAGAGAGGGAGCTAAATGTCAGCTAATTAAGCAGAGCTGAGACCATGAAAGATCTTGTGAGTTAAAAGTTAAATATTAATATCAGTTTCAAACTTTATGAAAGCCGGCTTAGTGGCAGGGAAGCAAAAGGGATATATATCCAGCATGTTCATGACATTTTATATTTCTAGTTAACCTTGCAGCCGCATTCAAAACTAGCTGAAGTTTTCTTAAAGCAAATTCTGGAAAAGCAGCCAATGAGGAATTATAACAACCCTTGAGGTGACACAGACGTTAATGAAGGAAGAAGGAAAAGATTTCAGTATGGCAATGTTTCTCAAATGCTAAGAAAAAAAAAAAAAAGTCTTTGCTGTTGTATTAAATGTGACATGAGCAGAGGGTGAGAGTTCAGAAAGTCCTGGTGCTACTCAGGGCTGGATTTGTCCAATGGCGTGGTGGTCGGTGCTGCTCACTGGAGTAATGGGGGCTGAGCTCCAGAAGAAGAAGCATGGGTACAACATGGGTTGGACCTGTTCTGAGGGCCAAATGCCCCCAAAATAAGGTCAGCTTCAGCCATGGGCCACACACCCCTAAAATAAGGTCAGCTTCAGCCGTCAGCTGCTGAGCAGGACCAGGCGTGGCAGTGCAATTTCCACCGTGCTCATCAGGAGGGTTTTAACTTCTTCAGCTGTGTGAGCCGTGTCCTGGTGAATGGTGACAACTTTCTATCTGTTGAGTTTTTGCCATGCTGAGGCCAGCCTGGCTCTGCCTGGTGCCCGTGGGACGGGGCTGTCCTTGCTTTGTGTCCCTGGGGAGTGTCCTTGTGCTCATCCCATTGTGCTCAGACAAAACATCACCTAACAACAGAAAGAGCACAAGCAGGTTTCATGTCTAAACTCATACGTGCAAAGACAGCACCCAAGAGGCCCATGTGAGTCTCCAGGTGCCTTGTGCCTACATACCTGGGGGTGGGGAGGGGAGATGGAGCTGTGCCTCAGATTAGGCTTTGGTGATCAACATACCCCCATGTGTGTTCTTTCCTCTTAATTCCCCCATTACCTCTGAAATACAAAATATAAAACTGAGCTGTTTGAGTTTGGTAGATCTTAGAGTTTCAAATATCTTTTTTCTTCCTTCCAGTCCCCTGGGCTTAATTCCAGCGCAGCCGGCATCACCAGCCCTCAGCCCCCAGACGGTGACGCTGCCTTTCCTAAAGAAGCTCCCTGTGCACAACCAAGCAACCTGTAACACAGCCTGATGGTTTAATCCTTTAACCTACCCGGAGCGGGCTCCGGCCGTGCCATGTCCCCAGAGGCACTCATGGTCACCTGGGGCTGGGGGCAAGCAAAACAGTGGTGATGCCCAAGTCCCAGGTTTGGTTTTCTCAGGGTAATTTTGCTTTGTCTTTGGAAGGCTTTGCTTTGCACAACCAGAGTGGACCACAAAGGAAATGTTGAGGTTTTTAGTACTTTCTGAGTTCAAGTCATCCTCATGTAGCCTTCTACTCTGTTTTCTATCAGAGCAATCTGAACGCACCAAAGCACTTTGCCAGGGTGTCTAAGCATCTTTACCCACAGCTTAAAATGACAAGGAGTACTGACAAAATTTGGCAGAAATGGGACTAGAAATCAAATATCCTCATTCTTTATCTGACATCAGTTTTGCTGCATGGCATTACTTAACCAGGCATAGTACCAGCACGCAGGCATACACTGATTTTATAATTATGACAATTCATTTTATCTCTATATGTCCATGGGAGGGACTGGCATGAAACTTGGCACTCAAAGGTAGCCTGCAATGTGCAGCACCTAAATCAAGTCTTGATTTCTCCTTTTCAAAGCCCTTGGTTGCATTTGCCTAGGTTAGAGGAGGACCAACCAAATGCATGGTCATAGCTGGCCTGGGTCTCTGGTCCTCATTCCCACCAGACGTGGTTTCCCCAGCTAATTCTCACTCTCCAGGGTGACCAACAGCATCTCCTCACTCTGAGGCTGGCTCCAGCTGCTGCTTGAAAATGAATCGAGAAATAGCCCGGTGGTGCTGGGCACAGCCTTTTTGCTTCTTTCCCTGTGCAGTCTTTAAGCACTTGGAAGCCCACCTGTCAGCTGCCGTCTAGCCTCTAAACAGGGACAGTCATGGAGATCTGTCTGACTGCAATGCTTTCCCACCAGGAGCCTGTGAGGAACAAGAACTTTGCATCTCTTCTTTCATATTTGAGGGATTCCTGACTTGTCTTTGCTGATGGGCATGCAGGGCTCAGTCTGCTGCTCTGATTTATACTAAAACACCATCTCTTCCTTACTCACTGTGGGCTTTACTTCCCTTTTTTTTTTTAATTTATTTTTTTTTTACTCCTTTATCTTTTGGCCCTATCTGCCTATTTTTACCCACATATTGCTTTTTTTCAGTTAGTAAAGACAGAGCTCACATTTTTTATTATATGTTCTTTGGCACAAAACTCACCATCCCAGGCTGTCTAATTCCAGGGGCTTCCTGAAATATTGCTGTAATAGAAATAACAAAGACTATCACCAGACCAGGCCATTTGTCTTCAGGAAAGATCTTCCATCCCTCCTGAAAAGCCTGTAAACAATCCCGGATACGTCTAAGAAAGCCCTGCCCTCATGAAACTGAATGAACAGCTCCGTGATTCATTTGAAGATGATAAAAAGACAAAACACAAATAGCTGAGATCAGCCATCTGATCTTTCACCTTTGTGTCCAGATAAAAACACAGATTCTTAACCTTTGAGCCCTTCAAATGATTTCCTGATGAGCTTCAGCAATGGCAACAAGACTTAAGCTGCCACAGTTCAAGGAAAGTCAGCTTGAAAGCCTCTTTTATACTTCACAGCTACGGGATTTAGTTCTAGATGACAACTGTTTTTAATAAAAATTGTGTTTAACTTGATAGGAAGCTGATTTTTCATGGCTGTAGTTGAGAAGGCAGGAAGGTTACACTGCCTGAGCAGGGCTATCAGCAGAGTTGGTGTTTGAATGGACAATGTTGTTACCTGCCCCACAGAGATCAAGATCTGCTCTTGACTATGCAGGACATCAGGAAGACTCTCCTCTAAGTACTTGAAACACATGGCAGGGGGCATTTTCCAGACACTTTCCAGTAGTCAGAAGCTATATGGGAGGAGTAACTGTATGATCTCCTGGCAGATTCGTCCTGCTGATGGTTTATTTACCATATGGCTAAGGAAGAAAAGCATCTAGATAGAGGTCAGCAATGCCTGGGGTATAATTTGTTTGTAGCTTTCAGCACTGCAGACAGCAATGTGGTCTGGAGCCACTGGTGTTATTCTGAGATGTTCTTCAACTCTTTGTGATGAGCTTCAATTTACAGTGATTCTTTTGGGCTTTTTAAACTTTGTATAAGCTGCAGGTATGTATGAAAGGTCTCATTTGGCCGTTTATGGAAATACCTCTAGAAGGCATCCAGAACACTTTTCCGGTGGTATATTCTCCTCCAGTTTCATGAATGCTGCAGGAAAAAGTGGCACATGTTGTGGCACCCAGACTGCTCTCCTCGAGGCTGCAAATGCCCAGTTCTTTGCTTGATGAGACTTGTTCTGTAGCAGGAAGACACCAATAATTTGACTGACCTTACTCTTGATTTAGAATCTCCTGAGAGAGAAAAAAACCCAGCATCTTGACATGGTCACAAAAAAGAGCTTTTCTCACTGACCAATTGTCCAAATAATATTTCTGACTAAAATAGCTTTTTCCACAGGAACACTGCTATTTGCCATGCTCTAAATTTGACTTCCAGAAATCTGAATATAATCTTAGTGGGATGCCCAGTATATTTTTAAAAATATTCCTAAAATAGTCTAAACTCCTCTATTTTGACAGACCCTTTCATGCTTTTCTACCATTGGAGGCAGTTCTAAA